CCTCACGTTGAAGGCCCCCAGATTCAGTGATTGACGAGGCTTTATAATCTGCAATCCAGTCCGTGGTAAATCACTTACAGTGCTATTTGGCAATGACCTTTAGCGAGCGACATCGAAGTTGCTTCAGGGACTATTACAGGTCGGTAGAAGGGGTGAAGGGAGACGGTTGGGAATGGAAGATAAAAAGTTAAACAAAGGTTGGGTATCTGAGCAGTAGCCCACTTATCAGTGCGCACCGCGCTCGATGCAATGGGCAGTGCGGTCCTGGTTATCCTGCGCGACGATCCATGCAGTATGAAATTATTTCTATTTTGTGTATGCATTGGGGTTTGGTGGACGGTTAATGCTAGGGTATCTAGCCACTAAGCAGGAGAACGATTAGGGTTCTCGTCCAAAGCCTTTAGTTCTAACAAGAACCTAACCTAATTGGGAGAAAACTGTCAACAAGGATCCGTGAACACCAATCGGCAGTCAGGAGGCATGACCCACTATCTTTGATTTCCCTCCACGAATATCAAGAAGGACATCAATTTGACTTCGAATCAGTGAGAATTATCGACCAACCCCGGTCAAAACACGCCGGAGAATTTCTCGAGGCCTGGCACTCTTCAACCAACTCAATAAACAGGCACATCGAACTGGATCACGTGTACACGCCAATGCAACTGAAGGACCAAATGACGCAAAAAAGGTCACGCCGTGACCTGAGAACGGACGGAAACCACAATCTGGACGAAAGGACAACTTCCTCCCCTCCCACCCGCACCAGCTCGCAACAGTTCAACGGCGGACCGAGTCGAACACAGTGAGAACAGGGGACGAAAATAGTCAGTGGAGGAGAACGCATATATAAACGAACGGGTACAGACAGAACACTGACACTCCACAAGCACTGATGATGTCACCTCGGCTGGTGATGAAACGTTTGCAACCAAATTGCCAAGCTCGGCGAACAGGCAAAATGGAAGAAACTAACCGCAAGGCAGCGGGTGAGTCGAAGTGGAGGCCCATTTACTTGGATTGATTACTCCTTCACCGTTTTTTATCTACTGAAACGCCGAATTCCAGGCGGACCCCTAACTCGGAGGACCAGGAGACTGGACTTCGTTTGACCTTTACCCATTGACCTTCCAGGCATAATTAGATCTGCAGTTTGACAAAAGCCATCCCGTATAGCTCGTTGGGCCATAGAGGTGCACAAGCCATCACACCACGTCAAGGTGTAGTCTCATCGTGATGGAACAACTCAAATAGCCTCTGCCCTACACTGAATTCCCGCAGTGAAGCTATCTTCGAACCGGAGTGAGAGCCTATATTCGGGGTTCTGACTGGGTCAGTGAGCGACTGGTAGTTCACCTAATGGGTTTGCCAAAAACTGATTACAAACCAACGAAAAAGAGACTTACAAACCATAAACATCTTCCTGATCGTGGTAGTGGTCAACAGCTAGATTGGGTATCGAGGTGTATTGGGCACCTAGAATTTGTGACTCGTTCGAACTAGACACAGCCCCCCCCTTCCAATTGAACAGCAGTGTTCACACCGCCTAGTATGTCAGGATTTGGTTACCCAAAGGTTACAGTTATGAATTCTTCAGGAAAATTCATCTTCTTTAGCCTGGACAACCATTCAGTATTCAGCCCACAAACAAATCACGGAACTATTTTCTTTTTGTTTAGATCATTGTACTAAGATTTGTTTGGCACAGTCTGGACTCACGTGTGCGAAATAGGCATACATATATATATAATTTGCAGTATCATCTCCAGGTTTTGTTTGCCAATAGTTTTCCCTCAACTTTTTTAGATGGTAACTATGATACAACGGTGGATAACGCACCTCTATGTTGAGTTGGATGTCTCTGGGTGCAGCTGATGCAAAGGGTAACGCAGGGAATGATCAGAATGATTTCCTAATATGAATTAATACCTAAATAACGGTGACACAATCATTCTTAGACAATTTGTAATTAAAAAATGCACTATGCTTGACTAGATTACATCATCATGGATACCAAAACGTTAGTGTATGTGTGTGTCAATGAGTATGTCTCACTGTGATTCAAACTTCCGGACCGGATCAACAAAACCACCACGCGCTCATCCTGAGGTATGAGGTAGGAACTTTTGTCACTTGTTCGCATCTGACAAAAAGGCACAATAAATAGTTAATGTGCATTGCTTAACTAACCAAACCGCGATTGATTTGTTCAAACGATGCATGGAATGGAATAGAAACGAAAAAAGAATGCTTTACTCCGAACTTATTTCATTGGGCACTTTGTGTTACTACCTTCCTGGATTGTTAGCACAAAGTCACACGAAAACAAACAGGTCTGGCTAAAACACCAGGCTTGGTAAGATGTACGGTTACAATGCTGATCAATCGTTTTACTCGCATATCCATTGTTTCTCCCCTCTCTTTCTGAGGACTATGCTTGCGGTTTGCGAATAACTGACACGTTGGATAATGCCACGCTGATAAATTGTGAACCGACTGCTTCTGCACTTGGAGGTTTATGGCGCTTATCTGCACCAAAACCGGTTGACGGTAATCAAGACCGTGAAGCGCCCAAGCTTTTAGGAGCTCCGAAGGTGAGTGTGTATTCGTTCAGGCAAACAACAGCGGACAGATGGCCATAGCTATCACGTTATTTGCAAATATTATTATTGTCCTTAGGATAGATCGAATACTTTAGCCAAAATATCTTAAATCAAGGCAGAGAATCAGCTTCATAACAACGAAAATAACGAATACTTATTTTTGGAGCATATGCTAGTGTTTTGTCTGCCTGCACCACAGTGAAGATCGAAGTTGTAAGTTGATATCTGTTGCTCCACATTTTTGGCAAACACATAGCTACTCTGTGATGAAGCAGATAGGATAATGAAAACTCTAATTGAATTACATTGGGTATTGCCCAAATTAAACGGAAAATAGTCAGCTAATGGCGTCCGATTGAGGGATGCTTGACATATTTTTATCAGTGTTTAGGCCAAAATACCTGGAAGTGAAAAGGGACGAAATTGGTTACTTTTGGTTAGAACTGTATCATTTTGTCACCAGTCCAGTGTGAAAAAGGTGGTTTTGTTCTCTCAATTCTTGAAATAGGAAATAACTCAATTGAATCCTACTTAAATGTAAGGGAACTGTTTCCCTGCTTCATATCGAACAGATATAACCTCACGAGTAGAGACAGTAGACCGGACCATTGCTGAAGTAAAGTTTCACGTACGGATTAAAGCATGGTGCATTCCGAAAAACAGATTTCGTAGAATTGAGGGTACAAAATCTGATCTCAAGGAAATCTTCTCTTCAGACTGAAGAGAAATCAACAGCCAATCAGTGATAGCAGTGAAATGTCATATTTCTTCTACAATGAACTGGACACAACTGGACACACGGTTCAATTTGGTTTTTTTCCCTTTCGTGCTTCTTCTTCAAAGCACACCATGCTTATCCATGCATAATGGTTTCAAGTTTTGACCATGTGCAGATAATTTTTCATTTTTATTTAAATGACATGTGATGTATGATGTTGAAAGTGCTTACATGAGCTATCACTGTACGCTTTTTCAAAAAGCAGTTGCTGACGTACAGTGCTTTCTGATGTCCTTTTATAGCCGAAACTGTAGGTTGAAAGGGTTGCCAGGAGATTGATCATACCGTCTCTAAGCAGCATATGGTTTTCCTCTGTTTTTATGAATAAAAACAACAGTGATTGTATTGCTATCTGAAGTGAGCTTGATCTTTTCATATGTGCTAATGATAGACCAGACATAACATTATGCGTCAGATTTTAGGAAGCAACCGTCGCAAAAGCCACCTGCAGATAACTGAACCAAAGCTCGCTCGGTACATCGGTTTACCTAGGTGAACATGGGGTGATCACGAGCGATTGAATTGTTTTCCCGGATTGTGCTTTTTAGCATATTAGTTCTCTGCGTATTTGGTTGCCCGTTCCAGATTGAAGGCAGTTAGCTTCATTCATGTAGACAAGTTGAATATTCGAATCCCCGAGTAGAAAGCGGAACGAAGCTTTTTATCTCTCAAATAAATTTCATTAAGAGAGCAATTCTTCATTCTGCACAACTTGAACCAGATGAATTACGTTATGGAATAGCATCTGGATAAGGTATCAAAAAAATGAGACACAATCTAAAGGAACGAGCTAGTGAAATTTCTTTCGTGTATCATATTTTGTAGAAGCAAAATATTTTGGAAATCTACTGATCGTATTGATGACCATAAAAGATTTGCTTTTATTTAATGGTCTGGAAGAATTAGAATAAACCAATTCAAATAGATTTTTTATCTCGAACTAGTCAAGTTCGTTCTCATCGTTTTCACCTTGGGTCGTGATTCGAAGCATCTACATCTTGTGTTGAACGCGAACTGGGTGTACACCAAACGGTTCACAGGTCACTTCAGTTTGTGCGATTCTAACAGAAATTAGAGCTACTTGTGAACGGGAATTTTATCGGGTTCCATTTTCTTGGGATAAAATAATATCGGTTAAAGTAAGATGTTCCCATAGTAACGAATGATTCGGAAACTAAGCGTATCAGTAAATTGATACCGTGAACAACTCGCTAGACGTATACATACGGAGCGGTTTCATCAGCGTACGCAAACAGAAGTGCAAATAGAGGTAATGATGAGATGAACCCATTAATGGCTTTTAACACCAGGACTGTATAAGTGAACCAATACACATAGAAATAAAGTAAGAACACCTGGAAATATCAAAATGGTCCTTTCAATGCTTAACAATTACCTCATCACTCATTGTGGTTGAATGTAATTTTGGTCGGTTAGGAGGATTTTTGTTCTGAGAGAAAGACAGTTTGATTTCACACTTGTTGCATTTAAAGGGTTAATCGGGCTGCGACCAAAAGCTAACCTGGTCCACATCCGACGTGACAGAAACAAAATTTCAAGTGTTTCAAAACAAACACCGGTCAACACCAAAACTGTTCCAATGTGAGGGGCGTTTTCCATGTGGTATTGAGCAGCAAAACATCACTTCTGTTACAATCGACTTTATTAAATCAGAGGGAGAGAGAAAATTACAAAAGTTTGCATTGCCCCCCTCTTATTCACTTACCTTTTTCGTCTGTTTCAGCCGAAATCAAGAATCTGGAAGGAGCACTGGTCCTCGGAACCGTTGGACATTTTCCTTTTGTCTATTAACCGGGATATGTCCATGGAAGAGTTAGAAACCGAGGAAATGCGAGCGCTTCGTCGCGAGTTGGTATTCACTTACAACGCGCAAATCAATGCCATGTACATGTTCACCCTCGCCAGTCTGAGAAATGTTCAACTTCAGGTAATTTCAATTGCATAGGAAAACACAACACAATTGTGTCATCCCTTGTGGCATTTCAGGAGGAGCCAGAAAAATTGTACACTTTGACGGCACGAATGCAAGAAACCAATTGCAAGAAGAGTGACTATTTGAATAATTTGGAAGCGTTTGAGAAAAATTGCCACACGCTGGATTCAATGGTACGTTTCAATCATTTACCCACCGGATTGCAAATTTGTGATTGGGGTGATATTTTTGATGGCAGGCATAATGAATTCAATGGAGGCACAATCACTTAGTACCCAAACTTATTTCAGTCACCGCTTTTTCATTTTTCGTGTAGAAGCAGACGAAACATGATATACTCTCTTCCGTTTTAATTTTTTAAATTTATGAGCGCATTTAATTAAAAGTTTAACACATACAGACCTTGGAATAAGAAGCAATAAAATTGCACTTATACCATGAAGTAATGTTATCTCTCCCAAAACGTTTAGAACAAATTAGACCCTCAGATTTACACCATTGAGTTAAGCACTGACTCAAGATCAATATCGTTCCCTTCTGATTCAATTACTGGAGAAAACTTCTTCACCATCGGTGTGACTCGGAAATGAAACAACGCATGTGTAAACGTGCTAGTAGAAACTAATCGGATAAGTGCAATACATTCGTAAAATGGTCTACAAACGTTCGCTTCGGAGCCTCTCATTTATGTTATGCTGATAGCCAGAATCTGTTTGAAAACATGATGTCTAATACAATGTCTCTTTTCATTAGGTCGGTAAGGTGTCTCTCAGTGAGTGAGAGATTGCATGAAAAGCAACTCTTCTCCTAAATAGTCTGTGCCAGATATAATCTTTGTTGATCAATGAAAGATCACTGTTACTGTAAGAATGTTCAAGAGTTACTTTTTGGCACAATCCTGAAATCAAAACAACAACAAAACGCTTGTTTCACCGCTGAATACCAGTACCAATTGGTATAGAACAAAGAAAATTTCGAGGTGATTTATCCAAAGTTTGGTCTTTTGCATAAATGCATATGCTAAATGTATTCATATTTAAGCGTTTAAGTGACCTATTTCTGCGGGAAAACGCCAAGAGTTCCCAAAATGTGGTGTGGAGCAATGTTCTCATATGATCACATCCAGGGGTATAAGTTATGTAATCCGGAAGGATGATCCGACACAAAAGTTGGGATCGATATCTGGTGAAACTATACTCCCTACCTCGACGTATATTGTCCAAATAGTGTTCATTGGCGAGGATGGATGGGGGTGGGCCACCATTTGATTTCATGTTGCTCAGAGTACCCCGATGGTAAAGTTGGGACATTGCTGTCACCGAATTCCAACGATTAGATAGCTTTAATTATTAGCCTTTGTAAAAAAGAACGAATGAATATTATTAGTGATCCAAACATTGCCGGTCTACACTCGTTCAGATCTGTTTATTTTTTAACTGGAGTTGGATGCCATACATAAGCCCGGGGAGGAAGAGGGGGTGATGAAATTTAAGAAGTTCAAAACTGTATAAAGTTCTACAGATCCGGTTGTTCACAGTCTCTCTTCAGATCGAGTTCTCGCAACCCAGCAGTTTCAAAGCTGCCCACGGGAAACTTTCAATCAGTCTTGATTGATATCATTATTTGCTTCCATCTAGAATCAGGAAGTTGTTTTGGCGAAGTACGTTTTGTGGAACAAATATATGTGATGTCGAATAATGATATTGAGAATAAAGCTCTATGAGGAAGAATGAGAACATCGGTTTCACTCCCTGGATAGAAAAATACAGGTCTAAGCGAAACTGAAGCAACTGGTCCCTGTGAAACACTTGTGGGTTCGTATAGCAAACAGCATTTACACTGGAGTAATTTTTTACCCAAATAATACTAAACAAGTCCTGGTGAGTCTTTACAGCCGTGATTTTCCTGATTCGTTTATACTCAGTGGGTGGAGTGGTTCAGAATATAGCGGATACTCCCATTTTGTCAGTAGTGGTTGACTTAGACCAGGACGAGTTAAGAGGTAACTAAAAAGAATGGAACAGTTTTTACTTACAACAAATTAACATTGATAAAATCTAAGGTGTAAACTTTGTGCAATTGTCGATTGGTTTGACTTTGTTCTTTAGGACTTTTTCGATTATCTTTGGCATCAAATCCAATAGAACTGCTATAATGGATTATTTACTGGATAAAATATCGCCTTATGACAAATAATCGAGATGGCAAGGGTTTATGGATAATTGTAGGATAAATCTTGAGTCAATCCTATTAGAAAATATTGCATTTTCAAACGTGTCAAAGCTCGCGGTTTTCATTAAGCATTAATATAGGTGAAAAATATAATGAAACTCCATTTGATCATAAAGAAGATATTTTAGTGCATCACAATCGGCCAGTACTGTAGAGTCATATGTCTGATAAGATGAAGATAGAATAATATATTCAGTAACTAGTATTGGTCAAATATTTTCACATTTCGCGTATAAAGAGGAAAGGAAAGTCGTTTCTTACCTTCAATCTGGTCTTCTCAGTCAACGTAAGTTGCCTTCAACCATTGGAGTTTGACACTTCCGTTGTGTGCTAGATCTGGATGACCACAGGTTGCTAACTCTTCGTTTTTCCATCCTGATCTTGAGTGTTTTTGATAATCATAAAAATTTTTTTCTATCAGTCGGTAGTGATTTAGTGTCTGGTGGAATCAAACGGGTGCACAAAGTACTTATGTCTTAAACTCTGATGCTTTCATCCCTGGTTTGCATTGTGAATATTTGCTCGAAACATGACAGAAACCACAAGAGGAATGTAAACTGACCGCAATGGTTACCGGAAAACCAGAAAAACCGTACAAAATTATACTGGACAAATGCAAACGTCTCACTTTTCCGTTGCTCACAAGTCTGGGTGGTCGATCCCCGGTCAGTGCAACAGATCGAGCCGGACAGGATTTCCAGAATCTATTGAAACGGGTGGCTAAATCGTTTAACGAGCAATCCGATTCGGGGATTTTATTCGAAGTGGACAAGGCGGAAAATGTTCTCAGTCAGGTAGGCCGATTTGGGGGCATATAGTGCAATACCAACTGTTTCACCTTCCTGATAGATTGTTTCTGGACAAATGTACTTCATGAATGTAACTTTCAAAGCAAACGGATGTAAACCAACAGCAAAACGTCCCTGTTATCAAGAAACTGAGAAAGTGAGTGATGGTAGTCTTTTTACTTTTGGATTTGGCAATTTGTTCATAGATGAAAACATAAAATGTCTTACTTGATATTTCAACGACAATGTTGTGACTCAGATAACGGTCCAGTGCAAATGGCATTGATGACTTAAAGGGGTACAAGAAGTAGACAATAGGGGAAATATAGAGTATGATGAATAAAATTTCCCGGTGACTTACAGTTTATTCATTCAAGTCCATCCACAATCATGGAACTAGAATAAAAGGAGTTTATTGAGCACCGTTTTGTGAAAACTAATTTTAAAGTGTGGATATCATCTGATTCAATGTTAAGTGTTCAAGATTTCTGCAATTTTCCAAACTTATTTAACCTTTCAAAAAGGTTTAGATGACGACCGAGAAATTGCACTTACACAACATTGCTGTTTCTTGGGACTGCACACAGTGTGGACCGCATTGCTCTGTTGTGGTGCATATGGCGGTTTGTCTCAGCAAGTAACAAATTCAAAAAGAACGATCTCAGCAGAGTTTGTGAATGATCTTGTCATTCAGTAGGCCGCGATATCCGAATGCACTCAGTGTAACCAACCTCTTTCACACCTGAGTCACATAACTTTCCTTCGTCCTTCTACTTCTCTTTACTTTATTTATTCTTGCCAAAGTAAAGAGTTTTCGGTTTTTATGGAAAGCAGTTTGGCTGCGTCAGGCTGAATACCGCACGTATGCCAGAGCGGTCTCATGTGGTTCGCCGCTTGAAGTCCCAAGCCTTAGGATGCCGGTTACCATGAATGATCAACCCCTAGGTCCTCGGGACTGTGGAATTTATTATTTATGTTATTCAAAAAACAAAACGGCTAAAAATATGAAAGCAGTTCATCTTCCACTTACTCCGACCACATTCGAAAGCCCGTGGTCGTTAACTTTGTTTACCGAGTTCCTAACTTGACAGCCATTAACAAGCAAATGTTGTCTGACTACGTTTTACGATACCTCATTTTTAATATGATAGGTTAGGTGAGGGTTGTTGTTGATGGTATCGTTTGTGAACTGTTGTTTTTTTGGACACTGTGAGAGACTATCTACTTGAGGAGAAAAATCGGAATACAACTTGCGCACAGTGATGGAAAACAATCCCAACCAATGTTGTCAATAGTTTACACACTCCGTTTGTTTTTAGCGTTGCTAAGTAGCACAGTTCAGGTCATATCAAGTGCATACACCATATCTGTTTACACTTTTACTTTTCCCACAATGTTCCTCAATTTAGCATACATATCAGTGTAATGTCGAAGTTTATCAAAATCCGTCAGACAATCTCGGAGAGTCGATCAATATTTCCAATTGCCGGCACCTCTTGGAGAGTGTAAATCCGGTTGAAGGTAAATGGACGGAGCTAAAAGGACAGTCAGCCGGGAAGGATGAATTCCAACAGATTGTGAAAAAAGCCGTTCAGGTTTACAATGACGTCTATAGCAAGAAGAAGAATTGGATTTTGTTTTATGTGGATGATGTACTGAAGTTGGTATGTTTATTTTAATAGCAAAATAGTATCACTCACACGAATGACCAATAGACCGGAAAGAAGGAACTGTTCAGTTTTATTCTGCACATGAAAAAAGAGAAAAGTGATATTCAGAAGGTACGTTTGCATGAAAACGTTTGTTTCTTCCGGTTGAGTTTCCTTTGGAATAAAACAGTTTTTCAGTTCTGAGTTACTCTTCTCACGTCTTGTTTTGTGGTTCGCAGAAATGTCACGTGACTATTCTCAACCCATCTGAGAATACGAGGCAAATTGCAATAAGAAACTGTGTAACGTACCGCCAACCGAAGGTCATGGTTGGTGCCCCACAGCCGCTAGATGAAGATGCACAGGAGAAAGAAGATTTCCACGCATTGATCAAGAAAGCTGCTGCCCTTCACCACAAGGAAGCTGAAAGTCGGTATTTCCACCGCATTGATCGCGTTGAAAATCCAACTACACAGGTATTGATACATTGATCATATCGGTTGTCATGACTGTAAAATTACTAATATTACTGTTCTTATCCCCAGGTTGTTGCGGGAACCCTAATCCGATTCAAAATTCATCTACAACCGACCAGCTGCTTGAAGGCAAAGCATAAGGACGAATTCGAAAAGGGGAAGTTCCACACATGTGGCCCGGTCAACATCACTGTAAGTTGATTCTTTCGGACTGCTATCATAATCCGATAAACAAAGAATACGACGCTACATGTTTATTCGCACTAATAGCTTCATGAAAAGGCACGATTTGCTTAATACGTTTGAGTACCTGATATCGCATCACTAACCTAACTAACTGCACTTTATTTTATTGTTAACACTATTAGGTTGTTGCATCATTTAGTGATTTGCAAGCAACTGAACGTGTACTTAAAACACCAATTGACATTCTTATAGAACATTTTTCTTTGCAAAGTTTCACTTTCTATCATTTACATTCATTATATTTTAATCAATTTTCATAAAGCGAGGGACGGTCGATCAGAGAGAGACCAGTCAAATGATACATTGAATTTTAGGCGATTATAGGTGGGGTGGACTTCGAACGCACAGTTTCTGGGGTTGATAAGCTGATGTCCTTAACCGCTACATGAGTAAAATTATTCACTGGGAATGGTCTGTTGCCCGGTAATATTTTGATTCACTTTTTTGCTTGGATTCACGATACTTCTAGGTTATTATCAATCAAAATGCAGCCGAACAACTCCATAAGTAGCTGTGTTGTGTTGTTCATTTAAGAACCATTTGGTTTACAGGAGTTGTTACCGCTTTGGAAAACGAATGGCTTACAACAAAATGTAACCAAATTGGATTTCGTTCATCAAAATTATAATGATAGAATGAAATCACCAAAGTCATAAACACATGGGTGTTGATGAGTTAGATTCACCACCACATGATTCATCATGGTCGGGTTTATTGCATTCATGGGAACAAACAAGGCGTATCTAAGGAGTTTCGTTAGTCGAGATAAACGCCTATGCGTTTGCCGAGGAAGTTCATTTTTGGCACCCCCGGATGGAGTGTAACCAGTAGATCTTCGAACTAGAGACTAAACGTCTTCTCATAAATAAACAGACGGTTTCTTTTTTGAATTGAAAATATTTCATAAAGTAAGAATTCCGAGTAGTTATTCTTTGAACTGGAGAGTTCGCGAGCTTTGTTTCGGGTAGAAAAGAAGGAAATGCTTTTTGTCAGCGGTGACAAAAGTTTCTGCGACAAAATGATGCCCGAAAAACACTTGGGTATGAAACGCGCTACCAACATCTGAGCCCGAATGCGACCATTATAATCTACACGTGATATCAGTAAACTCGNGAATTATATCGGAAAGTATACAGTTTATTCTAAGCAGTCATCCTAATGCAACTTATTTTAGGGATAGCTTTATGAAATAGAAAACGAATTCGGTGCTTTCCGATTTTCGGTAAACTGTCTGTCTGGTCGATCGAGCTGTCTGGTAAACGAGGCTCACCTAGGAGTCTGGTAATTTTTTACACGTCGTGCAATCATTGGCTCTCTTCCCAATTGATCCTAGCTGATAGATCGCCGTCAAGCAAATCGGTCTATGTTTTTCGATTGCGAAGAGACTCTATATCTTGGGTATAACAGATATAAGAAAAAGAAGTTAGGAAAGTATTGTGGGGTGTTGGGAACCGGTCAAATAAGCAAATCTATATTCTACAGTTTCAATTTACGATCCCCTGGAACTGCTGGTGACTGGTATGACCCTTCACGACGGCGGATTCATGTAATCATTAGCCGAGACAGATCACTCGGTCAACCCGATTGAATCATTTTGACCTATCTATCAAATCAATAATTTGCAACTAAAAGTGGTTAGAGGTCGGGAAAGACATCGTGTTTCTCCTTGATAATCCCTAACCACTACTAAAGAAACAGATTGGAACAGTGAATACTAGACTGTCCTTTTAACCCTTTAAAATTTTGTTCTCTGTTCATAACCAACTTTCTGTTTCATCAATCCGGTTGTAATACTAATTGGACAATTACTATCTGGATGAGCTTACATTTTTCTCACATGCACCAAACACTGATGATAACCTTAGATTTCACTCCTTGGGAGATTATTGATTAACCCACTAGTTAATGCATTGAAATGCGATAGAAATCTCTGTGATAACCGACAAAGAGTATTGGACGGCTGATTAGTTTTGTTTAGAACTTACCAGTAGGGTTTCGGCCCTCAACCCCCATGGTTAACGGTTCGAGTCTTAAAAGGGATATAAAACGTACGCAATGCCGACGAGCTCCGAACACGACGAAGCAGCTGTTCAGTGATCTTTGTTGGTCATCTAAGNGACTTAGATCGAAAACCAACTTGTTTGACACATTCTAATTAAGGTTTCTAACAGCAACATCATACTATTTTGTCGATCCCAAATTCCAAGTGACAAATCATCGCATGAGCTGATCAATTCCTTTTCTAAATCAGGTGTTCTTATTTTTATCACTGATATTGAAGCATAACATGTAAGCGTGTGATGACACTCATCGGTCTGATTCAAATTGCCTTTAACTTTCTCTTTTCACCGCAGCACGTCGTGGTTTGTGATGTGGAAGTATGGCGAAAACCGTGGATGAATTTTGAGGAAATCAAGCTACAATCATGTGAATTGCAACGAAGGAATAGTAGCGCCCAAGGAATGATACAAACCACCAACCAGGGTTTTCTCAGCAAGCCCTATTTTCAGGAAATGTTAGATCGTGCCACAATTGTGATAAACACACAAATGGACAACAAAGTTTTCTACAAGCGTATCACGGTGGAAAATATTACAAGACAGGTAAATTATATGTTTCGCCCAATAATTCTCGTCCGTTTCAGTTGGTGAACGGCTATAAATACACTTTCGAAATGGGATTAATTTCCACTTTATGTCTGCGGGATGAAGATTTCACCTCTTTCACGGTGATGCGCTGGAGTAAATGCACAGGAAAAGAGAAATGGGTAAGTCAAGAGGATCCAAACATTCATTTTCTAAATATGTTTCTTCATTTTCTCACGCATTTCCATTACAACGTTTAAATTGTAGTTATGCGTAACAGGGAAAGCAGAAACTGGGTGTTAGGTTTGTTGTTTCAATGTTACACATATGTTGCAGGCTTATTTTGGCAGAAAAGGTATTATTCTAACATGAGCAGTTCACTTGTATTCAGGTGAATGACAACTAACAGGGCAGTGTGCTTCAAGCACAGTAACAATCCGCCACACATCGACCTTCTCTCGATTTCACTTGAGATGTTTCGTTTCAGTTTATGGTCCATGCGGGGGTGATGCTTGCGAGTGGCCGGAAAACATTCTTATGCGACAATTTTCAGCCTGAACTGTCTGAATTGTGTGGTTCGATGAACTTACTTGAACGCAAACGAATATTCTGAACAACGGCAGGTAGCCTGCATGTGAGATGAGATCATTTCGTGGATGTTGCGGACGGCGACTGCCCACTAACAAATTGCAATCGAAGGTGCACTGAGACTCAGTCAGCGACGTGGAAGACCTTAGATTTACACCTTTACTGGCTGGTTTGGCAAGGCTAAGCCACATTGGTAGCTGCTCATCAGAGCCACGGAAACATCGATATCGTAGTGGGTGGTTAAATCACCAAAGTCCCCCTGAGTTTTGCATCCGAATGATCTAGGACAATACGGAATCATTGTGGTTGCCCTTTCTCTTGACAAAAGGAATTATTATCATATCAGCACAGTCTTAGGAAGTTTTATCTCGTTTTACACATGAATTTTTTTCATGATTCGTATTATATGTTAGCCGTCAAGTAATTCCGTTTTGCTAAAATATCCACTACTGAATGGCCTGTTTTCAAAACCATTGATCAGTATTGGACAAATATGAAGTTCAGGTTAACTTCCAGTTCTGTGCAACCAAGAGCATTTTCCAAAGGATCAGAAGCACTTGTCCTTTTTGCTCAGTTTGTCTTTATCATTTCACACATCAGAATTCTGTGGTATGGTGAGTTCATCTGGCCACATTTTCTACATGCTTTTCATCGGCCGCGTAGGTTGGATTGCAATTCTTCACCATACCGACCCAGAAACGGTAGAGATAGAAACATAGTATACTCTGCCGGTGGATTTCAACAAGGACAAAAGTACTGTCTCGCGCACGTTTTTGGCCCTTCAGAAAATCAAGCAAAGGATTATTCTTCTGGGAGTGATTATGCGTAGCCGATATTCGTCTCTCACCTAAGTAGTCCGTGAATGATCGACAGGTGAGAGCTGAAAGATGTCATCGACTGTTTGATTGTTGACGTGCTTCGGGAGAATGTCTTTCTTTACATAAAATTCACCATATTCTCAGGGGGCCCAGTTCGATGGAGTTTGAGACCCGCGTTAAGGGCCGTACTATGTGAAGTGCACATTACAGTCGCCTTCCAATGTGCTGAGTAATTGCTGGTTTGCTGAGAGCACTCATGAGACTGATGTCTACTTCTACAGTATTGGTTTTATGCATCAATTCACAACTGAGTTGTGCTGACACTTCTTTTTCCTGTTTACGCACTCCCTCAGATTTATTGTTGTTCCTTAAATTACACATCAAATATTTATTTAATTTGGCAGTTAAACTCAACTGAAGATACCAAATGAAAAATGTCGGGGTTGGACGTACAAATGATTTTGCAAATTAATGTGACCTGGGTTTTGTTAATCGTGATAGAGTATACTTAATGCGGAAAATGTATGCTTCCATTTTCTTAGCACGCGTTACACTGCCAAGTGTCCGTCTGGGAAA